GACTGAATCTTGATGTACAAATTTCTCTACTTAGAAATCTAAACTTTGATTCTCAGTCCATGTCATTCCTGGAAAGGGACATGCCTCGAGCAAGCGATCTTCTTCTATCAGTTTCAATGTGTGCTGAAGTATACAAAGGCAAAATTGTTGATCTTGCTTTAGCAGCAAGTGAAGAGCTAAGACAAATGGCTCAAGAACAAGAACCATTATGGCTATTTGATACCAACAAACAAACTGAGATTCTCAATGAAGCAGAATATAAGCGACGATTCGTCCATCTTGATCCTACATTAGAGGAAATAATCAAAGTCATTGCAAGAGGAGGGCCTATTGACATACCAAATCTTAATGGAAATGTTGAAAATGCACAAATGTCAATGTTAGAAATGGAAAATTCAGCAATGCCCTCTGAGACTGAAGCATCAAGAGCTATTGGAGTTGTCCTTGTGGATCCAATCAACATTGTGAATATGTTGATGGATGTTGTAAGTTATAGATACATAGTACTAGTATTATAATATGTTGCACGGGCTCTCTAAAATGTAGCCAGTGAGTGTCGATCCTCCAAAAGTGGTGCATTTTTATAGGATCTGACGAGTGTGCGGCAGCATTTTGGAGAGTTAGCGCAACATAGTTGTTTTAACCTTACTATTCTAAGTTATGTCAATCAATTGAAAATATGATACTTAATTGTTATGAAAGCAGGACCAATGGTCATGTGTGTTCTCCAACATTGTTTCAAAAGCAACAAATCTTGGACTTCTAATGACAGGAACAGATGGAAATCCTAATGGATCTTTGCAAGTGGTAAGCTCAAAGCACTTGTCTTATCTTGTTGAGCTACATAGCCATTTTGAATTCTTGCTAGTATATTTCTAGCTATACATTTGATAGGCATAGGTTTCATCATATAGGAACCACATGTAGACATTTGAATTGAGGGGAGGGGAATGTAGCTAAATATTTTTATGACGGTGGTGCTCGGGCCAGGTTGGCGCACATCGACTATTCTAGGTACTTGGTAACTCTACCCATCGAGGATTAGGTAGATGGGAAGAAATTACTTGCATTTCTTGTCTCTGGTGAAGGGGAGCCTTGGCGTAACTGGTAAAGTTGTTGCCATGTGATGAGGAATTACGGGTTCGAGCCGTGGAAACAACCTCTTGCAAAAATGCAGGGTAAGACTGCGTACAGTGGACCCTTGTGGTCCGATCCTTCCCCGGATCCCGCATATAGTGGGAGCTCAGTGCACCGGGCTGCCCTTTTTTTCTTGTCTCTGGTGAGATTTAGCTCTAGTCTGCCAAGATTTTCATCCACTTCATTGACTACTAAGTCACACCCTTGAGCGCAGAATGCGGCCAAAATTTTGAAGTCTGTGGTTCCTTGTTACTTTTATACCTTATCTTTTTGTTATTTTAGTGAACACTAAAGTTGCTGGTGTATGTGAGCAAATTAAGAGACTGGTTTTTTCCAGATGACAGCACAATTTCATCTTCCTTCTCCACTTGTTAGGCCCCGGGAGGTCTATTTCGCGAGGTACTCTCGACAACTAGATTTCAACACTTGGCTAGTAACTGATGTCTCCTTGGAGAGTATTTTTCCAAATCCATTAGTCCAATGTCAAAGAAGACCATCAGGATGTCTAATTCAAGGGCTTCAAACTGGACTATCATTGGTAAAGCAAATACATCTTACTTACTGATTCAAATCAGCTGTTATTCCTAACAAGATTTCGGTTCCTAGTTAGTACATTAATAGTTAGGATCGTCGTGTGTCAATTTTAGGTTACTTGGGTGGAGCATAATGTAGTATGCAACAGTTTGATTCCCCAAATGTTCAGGCAGATACATAAATCAGGCGTTGCATTCAGCGCAAAGCGCTGGATGCTGACCATGGAGAGACATTATGACAGAAATGCAACTGTGAAGAAACAGCATGATCAACCATTGGAACAACCCTTGCAAGACAATAGTAAGCTGGTTTGCTTTTTCCTCAAGATTAAACTGTATGATCCTAGTCGTCGTCATTTTCATTCGAAAAAAGGGTCAAAAATACTTCTTTACGATACGAAATATCTTGATTTATCCTCTGTTATACTTTGGAGTCATTCAAACCCGTGCCGTTAGCAAATCGTATTTGCCCTTGATCCAAACAGATCTCCAAGGTTCGGAGGAAATTTTAAACCTCACTCGGCCTTGGTGGATAGAGCTACCTGGTACCTGTTGTTGGTAGGAGGTAGCAGTATCCTGTGGAATTAGTCGAGGTGCACGCAAACTGGTCTGACACCACGGTTATCAAAAAATGGACTTTTTTCCTGAAGTATTTTGACACATAGAATCCATTATGTCCCCACTGGAGCTCCGTTAAAGCCAAGGGCAAATACAAGACGATTTGCTAACGACAAAGGTATGAATGACCCCAAAGTATAACGGAGGTTAAAATTAAGATATTTCATATGGTGAATAGGTAAAGTTGACCTTTCCCTTGTCATTCTTCAGGATGTCTAAAACTCTACATGAGTACATATAGTCTATTATGTAAAGAGAAAACTAGCTTTAGTACTGATCATTGGCTATTCTTGTGTTTATCTTTATATTCTAGACATAGAAGAAGGAAGGAAGAATTTAATGAAGTTGGCGGAACGGATGGTGAGAAGTTATAATGCTATTTTTAGCTCATGCAGTGAAAACCAGTGGATGCCCTTAAAGATACAAGGTGGTGGGAATATCTTTGTGAAAACAAGCTTGAATTCAGATGCTCGAGGAACCCCTCGTGGTGTTGCAGTAACGATTTCAACGTCTGTGTGGCTACCGATCCCACAGAAAGACGTTTTTGAGTTCCTTCGAGCAGGGGACAATCGCTGCAAGGTAATCTGCTACACAGATCTCTTCAACATTTAGCCATGCTAGTACAATAGTAGTGTGTTTTTGTTATATTTTAAGAGCAGATTCACTTGTTTTTCTTACTCTTTGCACCAGTTTTAGGTTCAATGATACAAATATATAGAGGGGAATGTTAGGGATCATAAAAGGGCGAGTTTAGGATTCAACTGTCGAGACGCCTTTGGGATTAAAGCCTTCTTAGTTATACTTGACAGAGTTTATTCCATTTTATTAAAACTCCAATTATTATATCCATCTTCAGTTCTGCAATCTGTAATTGATGTCATTTTTCATTGCTACCACATATTGTTGTAGTGGGATTTACTCTCCATTGGGTGTATGACTCGGGATGAACTACATATTTCTTCAGCACGCGACCCTGCAAACTTTGTTTCACTAGTCATGGTAGAGGTATGTCAATTCGATAACTTGTACTCCGTAAGCAGTACGTTTTGATTTTAACTTTTTGTTTTATTTTACAAAGGTGGTGTCTGAGCTAGCTTGCGTGTGCCTTAACTATTCCATTGGGTACCTACTACCTCTTATCAACACATGTAGCGGGTAATTATGCCTACCAAGACTTAGGCAGATGGGAAGAACTCACCTAATATTTTGTGATTTAGAATTCTACGAGGAATGAAGCAAAGTTTTTGTTGAGACATATTGTGCGGACTTCTCAAAACATTGATCGACCGCTCCTGTGTCGAATCCTCCAAAAATGCACTATTTTTGGAGGATCCAACACGTTCCCCGGGACATTTTTGGAGAATCCGAACAACAAGGTTGAGATATAATATAATTAAGCGATTAAAAGTGTACTCTCTAACAGCTTAAGCTTCTAAATGAGATGGTCACACGCTTCAACATGGTATTAGAGCAGACAGAGGTTCTGTGTCCAAATTTCACTGTCACCTGAGGCGTAGGTAGTGTTATAGTACCGGGTTCATCTAAACCCAGTACTTTTGACGCGGAGCAAAAATTTAGTATAAAAATTCACTAAAATTGCAACACATAGTGGGCCAGAACCCATAACTTTATAAATATAATAGGTTCAATGCTAAGAACCTTAAAGATTGAACCCACAGTGTTTAAATCCTGGATCCGCCTCTGACTGTCACCCAAAAAGCAAAAACATATATCTACATGTAATAAGCCAACACGTGACGACCCTGTGAAAACTCTCTTAGCCAAAGATTTTTAGATGAGACGGTCACACATTTCAATATTTTCTAACAGTTTTCTTGATTACTAGCCTCCCAATGGAAGAGAAGACAAGTCAGAAATGTTTTACCTGCAAGAAAGCTTCACAGATTCAACAGTAATGTACATAATTTATGCACCAGTTGATGCCTCAGCTGTGCAGTATATTATGGAAGGTAAAGACTCAGATGATGTAGTAATGTTGGCTTCAGGATTTGCTGTCCTCCCTTTCTCTCCTGAGAAAACTAACTTTCCAGAGGAAATTGTTACTGGTGGAAGTGTTCTAACCATAGCATTTCAGTTGATGGATGAAGAACTATCAACGCCCGAGTATCTTCCCCCACACTCAGTGTTTACAGCAAACAAACTCGTATCTGAAACTGTCTCCCTAATCAAGAATTCATTGTTGTTCAACTCTCCATGTTGAAACATTATTTTGTTCCGAAAATATTCTTCCTTCCACCAATGCTTGAGTAAACTTCTACATTACATCCCTCTTTGTGTGGCCCTTCCCCGGATCCTGCGTGAACGTGGAATGCCTTGTGCATCGGACTGTCCTGCCGTTTAGAGAAGGTTCAATTATCGGGAAGCAACAATCATGAGGTCAAAATTGAACTGGTCATGAGATCATTTTCATGTACTGTGGTTAGTGATCAAAATTGTACTACTCTTTTTAGGGAGTATGACAATCCCCTGCGAAATAAATCACCAATATAAGCTGCATTATTATTTGTCTGTTGTTTTTCTTATATTCTATTTTTCTAGCCGCGGTTTGAGGTTTTTTTTTTTTTTAATGTGGTTTTTGAGTGATATTTGGTGGATTTGATCATACCAAGGCCAGGCTACATTTTAACTCCTCGAGATATATAGGATATTTAAAATAAATAACTTTGTATAGGAATGAAATAAACATGAATATAGTATATGGACAATATCATAAGTCATTTAGATTTGTAGCAAAGTTGGTCGAAGATATATACACGGAATGGCTCATTTCGTTCGTTCACTAGACCAAAAGTTTACTACGCTGATAATAAACTTCTCTGCACCCAGAAAGTAAAAAGGGCAGAAAACCAAATCATACACGCAAAGAAGAGATTAATGTACATTTGATTCTAATGTTCCAACATAAAGCAAAACCATCCCTTTGATAAAGAAGCCAACTCAGTGCACTAAGCTCCCGCTATGCGCAGAGTTCAGAGAAGGGTCGGAGCACATTGGGTCTGATGTAGAAAACTGGATACAAATGGACTTCTTTACATCTTTGCTCTAACACTTTGTTCTTTATTTTCTCTTAGCTTTACTCGCCCAGAATATGTGTAAAGCGTGACGAGCAACTCCTGACAACAAACTATCTTCCAGGAAGAATATCCGTAAATGAGTAATCATGGGGAGGACCTGCGTATCATGTTTTCCACCTAATTAATAACAATTCAAGCTGTCTTCGTTGAAAAATAAAATTCGGATAACATTTACATTCAGCTTACCTTCTTGTTCACCTAAAATGTAAAATGGAACATGGGAAATCATTTTAGTTCCCCCTTCACTCCAATTCACAGTGCCAGGTTTCTGCATCCCTTTACTTGGAGATTCACATGGGCCCAAGATAGACAAACATATAGCAGGTTCATTCATCAGACCCAAATAATCACGTGCACGCCTCCAGACTCTTGCATCTGAGATCCGAGAACGTGCAACCTGTCAATCAGATTGACAAATTAAGCATAATAACACAAAATCTGAGACATTTACCATCATATCAACTGCTGCCACGAAATACTTTCTGCAAAAGGTGATCGCTGTCATCGGCCACAATAAAAGCTAGATACACTAACCTTTGCCAAGGATACACGGGCCCTGGGCAAAAGCTCACGGTGATATGTGGCAAGCTTAGCAATGGCTGTCACAACGAAACACAATAATCTTGATTGTGATGATTTTCTGAATTTTGCAGTATCAGACCCAAGAGCTGATTCACGCAGACCCAGACGGCTTATCAGCAAAAGAAAACATAAAACTCAGTAAAGAGTGGCATCTCAAAATGAATCTCTGATGTTGTGCAAAGTAGTCAATCAGAGTTTACCTTGAAGAAAGGTTTTCATACAAAAGTAATTCCAAGCTCTCAAAGAGTTCGCGAGCGGCATCTTTGTGGGCTTCACCACCACCTCCATGCTCCCCAATTGCCCAGCATAATTGTAATGCCAATTCAGTCTGAGAAAAGTTAACCTTCAGTCAGTTCTTTCAGGTTAAATGAGACAGAGATATATGCATTATTGTGACTATGGAAAGAAGGTCCAGTCACCTTTGTCGGACTATCATAAGCTTCTCCAAGTCTGTCCACTATAGGCTTCTGCACAAACATAGGGGTGGCTATAAGTACACCAAATCAAGGAAAACAGGGAAGGTAAAGAGGAAAGAGAGGGGATTGCGGGTCTTATGATTCATTGAGAAAAACTCAAATATAAAAAAGTTATGAGATGAGATCTGGGCAAAATAAAATACACGAAGGTGCGCAAGTCATGCAGAAATGCACTTCATTACCATTCTAACCAATTACGACTTTGAATTACTATTCAAGATCAAAGAGACAATTTGCTAGGTATAATTAAGACCAATACCTTCAGAAGTGCAATGAAACTAGGAGATCGATTAAAGGCTGCAAGCATGAGCTCTAAGACCCTCTTTTGAACCTACAAATATGAGTTGGAATGTATCACTAAAAAAAATTCAAGTACAGTCAAAACAGTAAAAAGCGCTACTATGATACTGTGCAAAGGTGGCATCCACTCAAAGGGTCCCAGCATTAGGAGAGGGATCCTCCTGTAAAAGATGAACCATAACTATTCTATTAAAAAATGCTCCCTCTTTCTTTCTTACTTTCCTTCATTTTTTTTTCTATCCGCCAAATTCTTGTCTTTCTAAAATTCTATAAAAGTTCGTTGCACGGATATCATTCAGTTTTGAGTATAAACTTCAATGCCTTGAAACAATTCTTAGATTCAAAAGAAAGCAAACTTCATTTTTCAAAATTCGTGAAAATGCATGAAGAAAAAGAAGCAGGGCAATCTGCTCCACTGGAAAGGAACCATTCATATACCTCTGCTCTACAGAAAGGGACCACTAATCCAAGTACTTTTTTTAGAAGACTAATCCAAGTACCTTTAAAACCACATAACTATAAAAAAAATGATAAAGATAATTTATGGAACTACAATAGGAGATTTCTCCATAGAATATTGCATAATCAACATGATGCTACAATTTGAGAATGCAGCCTTCAATTTATCTACACGAACTTAGATACCTCGTACAAGAATAGCTTGTCTGGAAATAAATTGGAATATCTTGCCATAAGTAGGGGAACCAGAGCACATATTAGAGCTGCAACAGAAACATTATGAATCAAGCTCTTCATAGAGCTGCTTCCTTGTTTATCAAGAGAAAAATCTCTCCTGCATAAAATGGATGAACTTACAATCATTGACTTCATGGATCGCTATAGCAATATACATATCAAGCAGCCGAGGCGTCATTCTCAGCGCTTGCTTCAGCCTATCAGACATAGGCGAGCTAACTGCTGCTTGTAGAGCCGCAGCCACTGCAGGAGAAGCCCAATGGCGTTCCTAATGATTAAGAGAACCGTGAAAGAGATAAATTAGAAAAACTTGGTAAGAAAACAAGCTATAGGATGATCTAGTACAATATATCATCAAAGAGAGCATCAGAATGAGCATGAATTAACATTTTGGAAGTGAAACGTAGTTATTTGCACTTTTTGCAGCAAAATAAATGCTAGCGGCTTTACTTGGAAGTCTAATCTCTCTGTTTACAGCATGCAACCCTGCAGCAATTTAGAGTTTCTAAGACATAGAAAAGATCATACAGCTAGACCATCGTTCTCATCCTTGAGAAGCTCAAGAAAGAATGGATCAGCTACTGCCATAGTGGTGCTATCCTCAGATTCAGAGTCCACCCCTCCATCTCCTATGGTTGATCCAGTATACGCTTCATCCATGAGTGCTAGCAACATCTGTTACCAAGAGGAATCTCCTCAATCATATCCACGATACAAAATTTTCAGTAATCTATCATTCAGAATAGTAAATAATAACCTCAGGAGCTGTACTCTTCTGTATCGAAGCTATGCTACTGCCCACCAGTGATCCTGAACTCTTCTCCACCTTTTCCAGAGCCACAACCAATACTGCCAAAGATGAAGAGAAGGTCTTATACTCTCATAGAAAGAGGAACAACTAGAATAAACCAATAATGGATCTTTGCCGCTACTTGATAGAACAACAGCTTAAAGTACAAAAGTACAAACCTCTTTCTGTTTTTAGCTTTTGTTCAAAAATCACTTTGCAAGCATCAAGCATAAGTTGTTATTGAACAATTCAAAGTGTAAAATCAGAACCCATTGCCAATGAACCAAGGTTGACGCCTTTTAGGGAGGGAGGGAGGGGAACACTTATTAAGGTAAGTAAAAGTGTATAATGGTCATTGTTGTTCAGTTCATGGAACTCATGTATAACCCCTGATCTTATTGTTTTACTTTTTTCTCATTTGGGGTGAGAACGAGCAAAAAAGCCATAAAGTAACACTCACTAGGCAAGTCTATGATTGATGGAAAAAGTGGAAGAAATGACCCCTGGGAAATCAAACCGGGAAATACTCTAAGAAATGCTTTTTCCAATCTGCATGGATGATCAAAAGTATTTGTAAGTGGCGTTCCACAAATAACAATAGGAGAATTAGGTCTACCATGCGTTATAAGTACCACATACAGCAAATTTTGTTAGCCATTGGACCAAACAAAAAAATAAAATAAAATAAAATAAAACAATGCTTAGGAGAAACTAGCTGGGAAAAGGAGCTATACATTATGCTCTCCACTTTTAGCCCAGCATAGCTACACCAAATAGTCCAAATATATGAGACATCAAATGTTGCAAAGTGTCCATTCATGATATGGATTTGCATGCTGGCAAAGTGTAAAGTCCCACAGATTTTAAACCTTAATCTCAATTACATACGGACTTAAATACATGATTAAAGTGCCATAAACGGGTTAATGAGGTCATATAACAAAGTGAGATGATAGAGGCATAAACGTAAGTGTTTGGGATGCATTGGCAAAGCATTGGTCCGGTAGAAGGTCAAAAGATAGCAAAAATTGAAGTTAGGAAATCAAGTAAGGGTTCTCTTATATATTAAACATTTTTCTTCATATTGCGCATTTTTCCGGTGAAGCCCACGCTTTAAGTGCGCTTTGTGCTTTAAGCCCCAACAGCGCTTTATCCCTTTCTTGCGCTTTTCACTTTTCATTTCATTCTGTTATCATATAGGCTCCATAGACCTACTATGGGTATTTGTATATGTCATGGATACTAATTATGTCATTCATGGATGAAACATTCTTTCTTCATAAGATGAGGTCGATGAGCTAATATTAATCTATGTGCATAATGGTATTACATTTGGCATGTTGCATACATTAATCACAAATGGAATATATGGGATAGATGGTTCACTCGATGGGAGGTAAAGGCATAGTGTGCTAGTTACGCGCTAAGCCAATTTTGGGGCACATGAGAGTACAAACTTTCAAGCAAAACTCTTGCAATCATGGAGCATCCGTGATGACAAATAAAAAAATGGCAGAATACGGTTAACTGTATAATTCTACAAATAAGAGAAAGTACAGACACCAAATTTTAGGTTGCACATGGGATTAATACTCAAGTCCAACATGAGAATAGTCAGACGCCTGGACATGTAATTGAGACTTCCTATACTACTATATTTTTCTCAAAATTTAGAAAATTCTTTCTAAATTCAGAAACTTGTATCATTCTTTTGGATACTAGGCAGTCCTTCTGAATTACCTCTTCTTTCATTTGGGCACAAGCGTGAACTTCGAAAAAAGAAAATTTGGCACTTTATAGAATATACAAATATTTCAATCCCTTTTATAAAACCATGATACACATCAGAAAAGAAGAGAAGACTTCTGCACTAGATTTAGACATTAAGTCGTATTAATAACGTTTTCGAGAGCACTTTCAAGTATATGAGATACTTCCTATACTTTGTTGAAGTTTTTCATGACTTGAATATGTTGTTTGTGAAGTCAGGACCTACGCATTCGATGGAGCTCTCCCTCATATGTTGTGCTCACAGTTCTTAATGTTCTTTGATAGATTAAATTCATAAATTATCCCATGTCTTATTTTTCTTGCGTCACCCTTATTTCCAAAGTTTTTCTGTCTTCTTTTCTGCATCCAACACAAAAAATAGTGGTCTTGATCGTGTTAGTATCTGATCCTCCTCCATAATAGGCCAAGGGGCAAGCGACCCAGTGCTCAAAATTTAAGAAACTCAGGAAGTTTAGAAGTCTTTGGTTTTGTGGCTGTAACACCAACTCTTGAAGGATGATACTACAATTTAGGAGGCGAAATGGAACTTTTCACTTTTCAGTGCCTTAATGGGCATTGCCATCACAATTATAAATAAAGTGCCCTCTACATGCATTTGAAAGAACAAGCAATAAGTTCTACTCTCTGATAATAATTAATGCTACACTCCATGTAAAACCATGCAGCAACCAATCTGTTCCATATTTTTTAAAAGACATCTTGGTTTCATGTATTGCAATAAAGGAAATTTATTTCAGCAGAATTTTCGGAAAAAAAAAAAAGAAACAGATAAAAAAAAGCTGAAAAAATAAGGATATTGGACCAAATTAGTTTCTCAACATTTCAAAAACAAGGTTTGAGTACCAATTATAGAATACAAGAACAAAGAACCAAAAAAAAAACAAAGTAGTAACATAAACAATCCATTCATTGACATAATTCTACAAAATTTCCATTTTTTTATCTAATAAAATGAGATAACAACCAGACTTACTTCTCCCCATTCCATGCAATTAGCTTCAGCAATAACGGGAAAAACTGCAATGTCATGATAGATCAGATTTCTAAGTGCATATAAACACCCAAATAAATTAATGGCTAGTGTATTCCATTCTTACAGAAGAGTGTATATATGCATACAAGGTACACATTATGTTTGATTTCAAATGATTAAAGAGATCAATCAACAATGTCTCAGTCCCAAATTAGTTTGGAGCCAGCTATATGTATCCTTTGTATCTGTGGTGCTCTACTTAGGTCATAATTATTCAAATGACCATAGAGATGTAAATCCAAAATCCGTTCACCTATAGTACTATGTCAAATGCATTGTAACTGTCCCACTGCCATAAGATTATATAAGGAAAGGATGTCCAACATCACTACAGTGGTTCAAATTTAAAGCCCTTCTATTCGAGGAGAAGGTTATGATGCTACTTTTTTTTTTCTTCTTTCTTTTTGATTTCCTGGAAACGGAAAGAATCAAAAACATTTAATAGGTACCAAAACGTAAAATATCTTTTTGTAAAGAGATTATATGGGAAGATCTTGTCTACAATTAGAAATAATTTGGACAACACTGGCACGACCAAGAGAATAATCAATGCTAGGTTAACTCAAGATGAAGCAGAAGGCTAGTGCATATTAGACAGATAGGGGTGTACCGTAAAGGCCAGCATGATATGCAGGACTCCTATGACTTTGCATGTTTAGCAAAATTATAGCATATATCATATCTAATAGACTATTCAATAGTGTTAGCTGATTCAACCCGTTATCAGGCTACATCAATATGACTCATACATCCAGGATCAATCAATGTGTAAAAGCTACAGATGTTCTCTACTAATATGTATAACTGTTACATCTGTTACTAATTACAGAATTTTAAAAGGAGAAGGCGAGAGAATATTTACTTCACCTGCACTGTGTCAAGAAAAAAGAAATTATAGTACAACATGAAGGTATCAAATGCACACTCTATAATTGATGCTAATCTACTCTGTTACAATTGATGACTTGAGCATTACACTCCCATAAATTAGAATTAATTTCAGCAACTAAAGCTGAATATGTACCTGGGGAAGCAAAGTAGGGAACGAACTTGAAATTTTTTTCTTGTTTGCATTCAGAAAGCCAAGGGTTGCTTCTGCAACAATAGGGTCTGCAAACTCACTGCAGTAAGCATTAGGAACTGCTTAACAAATCCAAGTAGAGTGATTTATTACTTATGTTTTGTAAAATAGAAATATATCATTCTAGTAAATCAAGAAATGTAAAAGTGGAAGCTACACTACTTTGAAGCTGATAGCATGAGGTGAACAATTACAAGGGGAATTTATAATAGCATACTAATCAACTGAACCATATTCAATTAGGAAGGTGATGAACAATGAATGTATACTATTTGCCGTGCTTTCGCGGTCAGATCGTCTTACATCATATTAACACAATTATGAAAGGCTAGGCGCAAGTGAAAATCTTCAAACTTCTAACAAAGGAAAGGAATGATTCCTACCGGCTCAAGCATGACTTAAAAAAAGTCCGTAAACTAGGATCAGCGTCATGCAGGACCACATCTCCGAAGTCAAGAAAAAACTGGAGTATAGCCTGTATAACGAAAAAAGACACCTTTAGCATTAGCATATACCTTGTCCCAGAAAAAAAAAACAATAATAGAAATAAATGCTTACTTTTGAACAATACCGCCATAAAGTGGCCCGAATTTAATCATCGATCAGAATGCCAGGTAAAATTTCTATTATGAAATTAGAATACCATGAATATTAAAGCAATCAGCATGATTTCCTCAAAAAAAGTGCAGAAGAAACACTTCACATCAAAAAAGGTTCACAACAGACAGTTCAGAACTTCACTTTCACATGCACCATTTTTGTCCAACCAAAGGGTATATGTCCAAGTGCGCAAACATAAGTATAATGGGCATACAAGTACATATGAGTGCTTGTCAAGTGTAGGTAGACATATTTGTCTTCTCCAAAGATAAAGTTAGTGCAAAAGAAGTGAAAATCTAACTGAAGTGGTTCCATCGGCCAAAGACTCAGATTCCAGAACTTCTTCCAAACTACTCCCTCCAGTCCAATTAGTTTGGTCTTATTTCCTTATTGGTCCATTCCAAAAATATTGTGTAAAATTCTATATTTTGATAAAATAAATTTTAAACTTCTCATTTTATCCTTAATGTGAAGCTTCTCATGACACACACAATTTTATGGGATGTTTAAACTACAAGTATCAAAAGTCTTCTAGCCAGCCAGAAGTGTTAAAAGTCCTCATTTTTTCTTAAATTTTGTATCTACTTAAACTATACCGAACAAATTTGAACTGAGGGAGTATCTGAAATGCCCGTTTTCCTCCGAGGTTGCCCGTGACACAGTTATCCGATTAGATAATATTAGAATAGTCCTTTTTAATCTCTCTTATTATCCTGCTATTGTAAGCTACACCGAGATTGAACTAAGTTATTTGATTTAAAATAGCAATAAAAAAAGGAGAAAATTTACCTTCTTCTTACAGAGAAAAGTATCTGATTTTCGATATTGAAAGTACTAACAATTTCAGCTTAATAATGTGCAAAATGCAGTTAGAAGTTCAATTCAGAAATTAGCACACAGCAGAAACGTGAAAAGCAGAGGGAAAGAGTACCAATAGAAGAAGGCCATTGGATGTTTGAGACTGCGAAATTGAGGCAACACATCGCTGAAATATCCTATTTAAATGAGGATAAACCCTAGCAATCAAATCTTCGGATTTCTCACTTATGCATAAGTCGCAAAGACTTTTGACCTGAAAATGACAACACAATCAATAATCAACTACTACACCTCAATTCCAAATGAGTTAATTTTGTGTCAATTGAACAATGCGTGCAACTCTGTGTGTGTGTGTGTGTGTGTGTGTGTGGAAAAAGAGAGAGAACTGACGGAATTGAGGAGAGAAGGATCGGAGGCGGGATCGTTGGCGAAATTGGAGTCTCGAGCACTGTGGGATAAGGATCTTAGATGGAAATCAAACTCCTTGTATTTGTCTCCTCCGGCCATTTTTTTGAAGTTGCATCAATGGCTGAATTGCTGCTACTGCTACTGTTATTATTTTGCAGGTTAACGGCTTCGTCGTCCGCTTATTGTTCGTTCTTCTTCTACATGGTTTTTTCTTTTTTAAAAACAAAAAACAAATGTTTTATTTATTGATAATTAGGAAATTAGTAAACTGTGCCGCGGCCTAACGAATTTTGTGGCCTAAAGCCAAATTTTACGAGGGAGCCTTAACTTTTTTTTAAAATTATTTTTTTTTAATTTGAAATCCATTTTTCTAATTTTTTTGGATGCAAAGTTATTAATAACTTTTTTATAATCATTTTTTTCTAATAATTCTTTCTCAATTGACATTATATTTAATCCATTTAACCTCTCTTCAGACATTATTGAGCTTAGTTAAGATTTTATCAATTTTAACGGTAACATGAGTTATTAACATTATTCTATAAACAATATAAGCATTTGGAAAAGAATCAAATCTTTTTATTTGATTGAGTATATCAATTAAACTGTTATCTTCTAGTTGTACTATTTTCCTTAACACTTTTAATTTAGAAAATAAATCTAAACCATCATCAATATCAGATTGATTATTATGCTTCAAGGAACACTCAAGATTAAGGCAGTATTTTTTTAAATTTCCATCATTTAGTGATCTCAGTTGTTTACGCTAAATAGAAAACAAAAAAATATTTTCATATGCTTCGAATTGTTCAAATTTATTTTGAAGTGAAAAAAAATTGTCTTGTCTAGTATGTATAAAAAATAATTTAACTCAAAAGGATTCTTCGAGAGATTTTGAGATTTCAATATCAATATTCTCGTCAAATTATTTTTTTTCTTTATCACACGTTTCTTACGATGTTCGAGTTTGATTTTCATTTCAAATGCAATTTTCTTGGTAGAAATCATACTAGTTGCAAATTCTTTTACCCCTTAAGTTTTTAAAACCACAAGTTTTAAAAGTTTTTTTTTCCTTAAATTCTGTGGCGAGTAAAACAAACTCATCTAAATTGAAATATATAGAGTATATAATATATTAGGTGTAACAAAAAAATGGGCTCCCACAAATGTGGGGCCTAAAGCAGTTGCTTTATCTGCTTTAGGTAGGGCCGCCCCTGTTGTCAACAAGAGAAAAAAATGAAAAATCATAAAAGGATAGGATGAAAAGAAAATTAAACAATTTATATGAAAGTGATATCTTCTAAAAACCGGTATTAAAGTAATTAAATGGCAGGTTGACTTATTATAGCCTGGACCTTTTTTTGTTTAATCATCAGGTATTTCATGATTACTAGCCTAGCTAATTTGGATTTACGGTGAGTTAGATCTATTATGGGGTAAAGTATTTTCCTATCAAGAAATTTTTCTTTTTAGAGCTCGAAACCAAGATCTCGAGTTGAGAAGGACGGGCCTCCGGCCTCCGGCCTCGCAATCTATCCAAGTTTGGGCTCCCAATCTACCCAAGCTCACTTTGTAAATCCAAATTTGTGTCAAGTAGATCTAGTGTGAGGGTAAAGTGTCTAGCCAACAGATTTTGCTAAAAAGACAAGGACATTTGTTCTTTTGGTTTATGCTCCATCAATCCCATAGAATGTGATAGATATGAGTGCACTAAGCTCCTCCTATGTGCAGGAGATGTTCGGGCACATGTAGCCTATTGCCACATTGTGGTACTTTAGGTGTCATATTTTATACCAGATAGTCATTGAGATAAGGTAAGATTTCATTAAAAAGTAGTATCAAACTAATAGTGGGCAATTACAAAAAAGTAAGCTGGACCTTCTATATGAGATAGATAATCCGACTATATTAGTACAACGCCCATAAGTTCATAATCAAAACCAAATGTGGAATAAAATAATCCCGTATTTTATTCCGGAATTGTTATCCCTCATCCCCCGAATCACCACCAACCAAACGACACTTAGTGTTTCTAATGAGATAAAAACAAGCAGCACACCAGCAACTCAAACAAAAACTTTTCAAGAAAAATCTTTACTCATCAGAATGGCATTTGGCCATACAATAAACTTGTTTAACTCAGTTTCCTAAAGTACAGCGAGTACAACAAACTTGTTTTACTCAATTTCCTAAAGTACAACAAATCCATAAGGATTCAATTAAACCTTCAAATACTTAATAGCTGTATGAACATCCTTATCTCCTCTGCCACTGCAGTTGAGCACCACCTTAGTTCCATTGGGTAGAGTTGGACATAACTTCTCCAAGTAAGCCAGTGCATGAGATGTTTCCAGGGCAGGAATAATGCCCTCTAACCTAGATAATCTTTTGAAGGCTGCAAACAAGCATCGGCACAGCAGGAAAAATTAGTGAAACTTCAATGTTACCAGCAGATGCACTTACAAAAGCTAAAACCAAGCGCAAGCCATTTGTATTCTTCTTGTCTTAGTCCTCAGCTAAACACTAAGGGGTCGTTTGGTAGGAGGTATTACAAAAAATAATGCAAGTATTAGCTCTATGCATTACTAATACCTTGTTTGGTACTTTTTTTAACCTGCGTTAACTAATACTTGTATTAGTACACATCATTTGGTATTATCCTATGTATAAGTAAGGCATAGAAAACCATGGCATTAGTAATACCAAGGCCATTAATGCATGTATTAGTATGGTTAAATACAAAATTGTCCTTAAAGTCCCTTAAAGCTAGAGAATATGGACGGCATTTTTGTAAACAACTACTTTTCTTAAAAATTATGCAATGCATTATAATTTTAATATACCACACCAAACAATATATAAGAAATAATATATGCATAACTAATACGTGCATTACTAATCCATGCATTATTAATACACCTTATTCCGTATTATTCCTATACACCCTACCAAACGACCCCTAAAAGAGAGTGAGTTCAATGGAACCCAAACAGAAATCGCTCGGAATTAAGAACAAGTAGAAAGTCAACAATCACCTTCTAAAGCCTCCTCATCTGTAATGCTGTAATACTCTGCTCGTCCTAAATCTTTCAAAAAACTGTGCTCTGGCCCAACTCCAGGGTAATCCAATCTAGTATGCCATAAGGTGGAGAAGAAAAGAAAAACAAACATGAACCAGTGAGCAGCTGTAAAAATCCACATAGAAATGACCTGTTCCAACTTTGATTCTAACAAAAATAAGCAAATTCATGAGCCGCAAAGAAAAAAATTATTACCCGGCACTGATAGAATGGGGCTCAACTATCTGCCCATCTTCATCTTGCAGCAAATAGCTCATAGCTCCGTGGAGTACTCCGATCTCTCCCTTTGTCAAAGTTGCAGCATGTTTTCCACTATCTATACCAAAACCAGCAGCCTCTACCCCAATCAACCTAACATCTTTATCATCAACAAACTCATGAAACAGTCCCATAGCATTTGAACCTCCACCTACACATGCAACAAGCACGTCTGGTGTCTGGTTTCCCGCCCCATTTTTCCAATGCTTGCTTCCTTGTTTCTTTACCAATCACTGCATGGAACTCTCTTACCATCATGGGGTACGGATGTGGTCCTGCAACAGATCCAAGTATGTAATGAGTTGTTTCGACATTTGTAACCCAATCCCTTATAGCCTCTGAAGTGGCATCCTTGAGTGTAGCGGTCCCTGAGTGGACTCCTCTAACCTGCATGACAATTATGAAAAATGAAATCAAGAGTAGCTCTTTATGATCAAATTATAAAATAAAAAAACTGGCTCAATACACTTTGAGAGTGCAGTCATTCTTATTGAATAGAGAAGCCATAGATTGCAATTTGACATGAGGCAAAGAGGAAGAAAATGAAGCCAAAGGTAACCATCTATCAAAATACTACTTTTTTCCATTTTATTATGTTTCAGATATACTGTGCGTATGTATGTGCTTTAGATGAGTCACAGTTAGCCCACTTGGGGTGGTCTTTTATCAGTAAGTTAAATTTTATTAACAAAAGCAGCCAAGCACTAAGCTAGTGTTGGACATTACAAAATGAGAGGCCCCTCTATGCAAAAAACAAAAAGAAGGGGCTCCCCTATATAAGAATTACTCCTGTAGTGAGTCAATAAAATCTATCATGCAATTTTCATCACATCCTGTAGATTGCAAAAGATACCAGCAAGCATAAACATCTGTAGTTTGGAATCTGAAATGATCTAGTTCTGCCCTCAAAACACCTTAAGTTCCTCTCTTTCCTTAGTATCAAAGAGACACATGCTGGAATTGTCCTCCAACACTTCTTAAGAGATCTGTGAAGGCTGCAATTTCCCCAACCATCCAAAAACTGTCTGATCGGCTGTGACATTATCCACTGCGGTCCAAAAATGTAGAACAGGCACAGTGTGTTGTTGTATTACAATGCAGGAACAAATGGTTGTTGGTTTCCTCTTCCCTTGTTGCACAAAAGCACCTGTTGCACATGGATATCCCTCTTCTCTGTAAATAATTCTGGGAGAGGCAAGATTCATGGATTGCTACCAACATAAAGGATGCAACTTTTTTCCATATCTTCCAAGGCCACTGTGGGTAGTTGTGTGTTCCACTGTTTAGCAACTTGTCACATGACCTGACTAAGAATAAACCATAGTTCTGTTCTTTCCAGATGAGTAAGTCAGCTTCCTCCAGGCTGGTCTTTTAGATGGTCAAATCAAGAAACAGTGACGGGCTTCCACAGGTGTTGCGGAACGACACAATTTCCAGTTAAACTTCCTTCTTGCATTTGCATTTGCATTCGCATTCATTTAGCTCATTCATGGATTTTAAAAGTAATTCCCTCTCCCTATCTATATACATATACCCTCATGATATGCTATTACGGACTCAGACTTTTGGTCATTGAAACTATGGACTATACTTAACGCATCATAACTCCAACTAAGTATCGGATGCAAGAGAAAACCTACTCCCATCTTACCAAGTTAAAAATTTGCTTTTATTATTACTAGAAGAGTTGGAAAATTGAATTGTTCTATATCTGTTGGAAGAAGATGTCGGGGCCTTCCATTTCTTACAAAAGTAGAACATTAAAAAGAAAAGCNGTTATGAGAAAATGAACATTCATTGTAGAGCAGACTAAAAGGAAAGGTTGACATTCAATTTGGTTGTGTGGGCATAGACCAT